TAATTGCTTTTAATCTTTTTCAACACGCTATCGTTCTGATTTTGTCCACGTGCAGGTCTTGTACTGCAAAACGCTCCACTGGCGCTAGTTTCAATCGGTGGACAGTACATAGCCATGGCTTGGTATTCACTATCATACATACCATATGCGAGGTAAGTGCACAATCCTCAACATTTTCTAGGAATTTCTTTGAGCTTCGCATGAGCTACTCTCTCAAAAAATATAAGTATGCATTACATCTAACTACGGAAATTTGGGGTCGCATGGTGCATCAGTAATAATGCTGTGTCTAATTTTGATTCATGCATTAGATCAACTGACCTTTTGCTTTTTTTGTAATCAAGTTGAAGAAGATGTAGATTGGAAACCTTGAAAACAAATTCTAACTTCAGCGGTAAATCGGCTACATAGGTATTTTGTTGAATCTATGATTTGTTATGTCATACTTGCCTTTGGAGTAGCTTAGCTGTCAGCTCAACTCTGATCTGCAAAAATCTACTATCTCATTGAGATTGAAAGCTTTTACTGTAAATAGCAGATATGCTTACGGCAAGTTACGAAGGTTTCGGCAATATATTCTACATTGTTATACGTTTTGGTGTCGGAATAGGTTACTGTAGTAAAGGGAACGTAATTTTCATCTAAGAGGAAGAATCTGCTCATTGATCTTCTGCTATTTCACAATTTTTTTCTGCGAACGTAGGGAGAGGTATGATTAAAAAATCTTAAAACTTTTCTCACCTTCATGACTTTTGTTGCCAAAGGAGAGCCGCGTTGATCACTATTCTGAGTTTTTCAGCTAATTTGCAAATTTTTGCAAGGTTGGCTTTGAACGTATCTGTTGACTTATAGCTTCCTTCTGGAGGCACTAAACCTTTTTCCGCAAAGTTTTTGAACACACAATAAGTGCTATTCTTTTTCTATCCAGCAAAGAGAATACATTTTTGTCCAACTTTTTTTTGAAGTCATATAGCTGGCTTCTTCTTGTTGCTGTCTTCCACTTTC